AGATAGTTACGGCTAATAGATATATTTTAATTAGTAGATGTTATCGAAGCGAGAATTGGCATTTAGAGGGCGTATAGAATCTATTAAATCTAATATAAGAGAGTTAATTATATTGAACTTGCTTATTTATTAAGTGCATTAGATAATCTATTAATTAAAAATACATTTAGAGAAGTCTACGGTTTTTACTGGCTTATCGAACAAATGAATACGAATGGACCCTAGACCATTGCTTACTGATTGCCCCTGGAAGTCGGCTTCTTAAAGAAACACAGCTTCCCTATCATCAAATGTCACGGTACGCCACTGATTTGTATATTTTTTAATACATAAGAAATTGTCTATTTTATAAAATTGAATAGATTTATTTTAAAATTTATATTTCTTTTTGATATTCAAATAAATACGGAAAAATAAAATAAATATTCATATAACTATTTATCAATTTAATATTAAATAAATATTAAATCAGTAATTAATATTTTATTCGCATGATTTTTAAAAAAATGTTATTACTTTGGTTGGAAACACCCCATAACACTCTCCATGTGATTCTAAAAAAATTAAATTTTAATTACACAATAATTTAAAATAATATTGAAAATAAATTAATCTAAACTTTTCTTTTATATTACAAAATAAAAGCTTTTAATCGAGTATTCAAACTGAAAACTTACGTTGTTAAAGGTAATCATTTTCTCTTTGCAGTTTTCTTTAGTGAACTGTTCAAATAAACAGAAATCGTATGAACATTATAATTTTCAATTATTTTTTTAATTTCCATTAATTAGAACACATCATGCAACACTGCTTTTAATCGTAAACTCTCTTATCGATAATAACATTTGTAATATTAGTAATAGACACGTATTTACAACATTAAAGACACTGTTCGTCAACTTCTGGTTTACACCATCAGAATGGGGATCACATAGCTCAGTATCCCATGCTGCATTGCTAAGGTTTCTCTATAATATTAGTACCTTGTACAAATAAAATGTTTGTTGCTTGCAGTGTTAAAAATGCTATTGTGGTGAGATTTTGTACTAATTTTTAGAAAATGTCTTACACGTGTCCTGAAATGTCACTTTACAAAATTTGGTTGCAGTCCAAATACAACAGAATTTGATATTCCGACATTTGGTATATCCTAGTAACGTGTTGAACACGGGTACATTAATTACGACTACTTAGTATCAAAATATTTATTATATTAATATATTTAACGATCAAACTTTCTGTTGTATGCTGAAAATCAACGAAGATCATTAACTTTGTTTATGAGATAGACAAAATTATGAAAAATTACTACAGTGTAAACGCGTTCATCAGAAAGTGATTATCTAAAATTCATATTTAATCCACATTCGGATAAAAGTACAGAAAGTAAAATAACAGACGACTTTAGCTGTTAAAATTTATTTTTAATTAAAAAGTAAAATAAAATTCAATAACCAAAATTGTTTACTATTTTATGAAATAGCTTGACCATAGCCTATTCCATAACAAAGTTGTGTAAATTTCTGGCACATAATACGGTATTATAAGTGTATTCCAATGTATGATAACATATAGGCCTATATTTTCTCCAAAAAGTCTTTTTTGGCCGCAATATAAAATATAAAATGTACTGTACGTTACCGCTTTCAATACTGAAATTATGTAGTTCCCTATCAGCTAACAGTTTGACTTTCCAAAATTTTACATTATCCGGATTTTTCATCCGATCTAATCTGAATTAAAGAATTTCTTTATCATTTCAGTCTCAGACAAAGTAACTTAAATCATAAGTTTTGAACTCGATTTTCTACATTAAATTTATAATTAATAAATTTTATAATAAATATTTCTAAATTCGAAAATCCTGCAACGAGTTGCTTAACTTTCCCGGCAGCATTTGATAGCACCATCTCTTATCATATTTTATTTAAAAAACGTTTTATATTTTTAACTATTATAAAATGGGAAAAAAGCCTAATTTTGAAATTAGAGATGTTTTATAAAAAATTGTAAATGCTAATAAAGAGTAAAATCGTCATCAAGTCTAATCCTACTGGACATACACACGACACCCTTTATCTCCTCACCCCTCTACCTTTAATCACCAAAACTTAATATCATCAATCTCCCTAATAAACAAACATCTCTGCAAAATTTCAGAAATTTTCGACAAAAAGCACAGGATTTATTAAGCTTTAAATAGGGTAAACGAAATCGTGTGAATACACACTAATATCCGTACATACAGAAAAAAACAACCGAATTTTTTCGGTGTTTCCGCGTCGAAAAATGTAAAAATCATGGGGGTCATTTTTTGACCTTTTTTCTGTTATATATAACAGCCGAGAAAATTAAAAATTATATGTTATAGCGTACACTGTAACATAAGAATAATGTGAATTTTGTTTTAACAATAAATTAAAAAAAAGTAACTTACATCAAGATTAGAATGTTGTCTAAGGATTTCCTACAAATAAATTATAAATTAATTATTAAAACTAATATCAAACAATTTTAAGGCTATAATAAGAGCATTTATCTTACGCTGCCTGTCTCATTGCACTGGAATAAAAATTCAACAATTAGAAATTCAGATAAAAATATGTTTATATTCATAAATGTCGCGCTTAATATAACAGATAGCCAGTAAATAATTTTTAATTGTATTTTATTCAAACAATTTTAAGTCTATAATAAGAACATTTATATCTTACAGTGAGGTTTTCCAGGCACTAGAATGAAAATTCAACAATTAGACATTCATATAAAAATATGTTTATATTCATACCAATAGCTCTAATGCTACGAAAGTGGTGTAATAAATACTTCTGCCCACTTCGAGCGCTGTAATCGCTTTGCGGACAGCAATAGTCAGTTGTAAACATTTGAATTTTTTTTTATGAGGAAATTTTTTCGCTTATAGCTGATATTGCTATTCACCTTTTTAAATAATTGTTTGTAAATATTGTTTTAATTCGGTTTTGAACATTATTTATACATAAATGTCGTTAATATCGCCGAATTCTATTAAGTATAAAATCATGAAAGCGATTTCATAATTTTAGACTAAACTGATTCGATGGTTTGTTTTATGCCACAATTTCTGTTTATTTTGAAATATTTTTGGTAGTTTTCATAATGGGTAAGAAAAGATAGGCTAGTACGAAAATACAGTTTGGCCTATCTGTACATTATTAAATGGGGTGCCCTCAGTAAATTCTTTCTGAATCAGGAAGAAAAGAGGTTGAAGAAAATTATATAAATTTAATTATGGATAGGTATAGAAATGTTAAAACAAGCATTGGGATAGGTTAGTGTTAAGCTACAAAAAGAGGATTTAGAGTGAATTTTGGAGAGTGTCAAGGCTTAAGTTCATGCCCATATTTTTATTAATATTAGATTAATTATTGCAGGATGCAGTGACAAAGGAGCTATGGTAAATATTATTTACAATTGATATTGTGTTTATTAATGAGATAGAGAGTAATTAAAGTCGAGCCACAAAAGATTAGGAACAGATTAGAGAGAGGAGGATTAAAAATCAATAGAGTTGAAATCAAATACTGTAGGCAGTTCTTGAAATCAGATGAGCCTGTTAGAAAAGACAGAAGGAATTAGACTTCAGGATATGTTTATAAAAATGTAAATTTTAATTTTCATATTTACACGCGGATAATGAGTTAGACCAGTGTTTTTCAACCTTCTTGAATACGCGACCCTTTTACAAGTTAAAAAATTCTGGCGACCCCCCACGGCCATAAAACTATGTCAGTGATTTTTAAAAACTACATGTTTAATTTTCTTTCTGTTGAGATTTAAATAACGATAAAAAAAGTAATTGTACCGTAAAATAAACAGGAACAGCCTTTTCACTAAAATTGTAGTTTTTTTTATTGTAGTGTAGGACCTACAAACACTTGTCCTTTTCTTTTACCCGCGACCCCCTCTGTATGGCTTTGCGACCCACCTGGAAGTCGTGACCCACAGGTTGAAAAACACTGAGTTAGACAAATAGAAAAACTGTCATAGGGCATGAACTTAAACAGCATTATCAGATATTAATAGCAACAATACAGAGTCTAAAAGTTACTTGATATTTTAATCATACATTGATATATACATATAGACCTATGTATAAAGCAGGAAAGATGTCAGTAGGCTATCAAAAACTCTGCATTAAAAATTCTGTTTTTAAATTAATGGTGCAGAATATCTTATAAACTATTGATACTAAAATGTATAGACACAATGTGTTATAAGAACTGCAATTTCATATATTACAATTATAAAAGTGTATGACATCCCAAAAACTGTTTATCATTACTGAATCAAATTGAATTGTGAACTTTATGTAGTATTAAAATTAATAAAATTATTTGAAAAAATAGTTTGCTTTTATCTGAGTTGAATTTTTGTGGCTGCTTAAATGCATTAGAGCAGTGGTCTCCAAAGACAAGCGCATAGAAGTAGGTATGAATTAACACGTTAATTGGTTGCAGATGTCACGTAGTTTTGACGTCATGTGACCAATCTACAAGTTACTTTTTATAGCCGCCATGTTTGGACTGTGAAAGTCATCTTACAGTTATTTTAAAATTTTACGAAGGTCTTTCAATATAGGATAACTTATACGACCAATAATTTTTTGCTGAGTAATTTATTTATAATAATATATATTTTTCCGATTACCTCGTGTGCCGTTAGATGTAAATGTTAATTATTAAATGAATAGTTTTGTTTTCTATTTTAATTATAATCAATATTCTTTAGTGTAGTTTACCTTAAATTACCCTATAACGTAAATGGGAAAAATTTTTGACTCAAAATCATGCTGAATTTCATGCAAAACGTCATCCTAACATAATAAAACATTAATACACTGACTGTACTGTGCATTAGATGGATAGAAGTTAGTTTAGGTAAAGTACAGTACATTGGGTATAAAGATGCTCTAATGAAAGTATTTAAACGTAACTTCTACCTTAGATGTTAGTGTGTACTTACTTTGTCAAAATAGTATTTCAGTAGTAAGTAATAAAATAATATAATTATTAAATGAATACATAAAACTATTTCATTTTTTCAGAATAGTTGTGTATTAATAACAAAAATGCCATAGGTGACGTATGTAGTGTTGTTCTTCATACCATATTAAGTCATCCTGATGTCGATGAGTACCTGGCGCATGTTAATTAGTGATTAGTGTTGCGCCAAGTCTTGGGGAAGTAAGTACCAGTGGTTCCCCGTTGCCTGCTCTGGATAGTGGTGTTACGCGGGAAAATAATGCCTGCCGGGGGGTCCTTTTAATTATTTACTACTTCTTAAGTAAAAATAAGTAGCATTCACCAGTTAAACCGCGTGAGGTTGGTGCTCTGTAAACAGCTTGTGCGAATGCGTAAATCTGGCTGCTTGGAAGCTGTCCCGTATTCAACAATACAGCGCTTGCATTCCGCCACCGATATTCGAATATACAATGGCAATCTTATCGTTTTTTCACATGTAATGTAGACATTTGTAATAAGATACATAATGCGGTTATAATAAAATATTAATTTTAATTAATTAAAACTACGTTAAAATATGAAAATAATCGCGCAATATGTCTTTATATTTTGGAAAATACAAGGGAAGCGGCGCTTCCACCGCTTCCAAGGACGGCAAGCCACTGGAAAACAGAACGAGCATTTAAATAGTCGAGATGGCAGAAAAAAATATATTATGAAAAACTAAGATACTAATATGCATTGGGTAAAATGCAAAGGACTTTGTTTTTCAGTATTTTTAAAAAATTAAAATGAGAATGAAGGTAAAATAATTATACCTCGATATTCGGCTTCATAAATTATACATTTTATGTTTTATAAGTTACTATTATTAATAAATACAGTATATTTAATATAACAAGTTACTTTTATTCAGAATCGTTTATTTAATTGTTTTTCCTAATAGTTTAATTTAAGTTTAATTTAGTTTTTAATAAAAGTTTATTTTGATTTATATTAAAATTTTACCTCTGGTTTAAAGGTATATTTCAGATTAAACTCGGTCTAAACAAAGGAAAACAAAATTCACATTATTTGCTTACAATTTTAACACATTGTAAATGCAATAATATAGTCTATTATTTTCAATATATTTTTCAGAATAAAGTAATGCTAAATTTGTTATCAAGTTTACTATTGAGAAAATAAACAAAATGAATTTAAAAAAATATGATTTTACATTTTAAATTTAAATATTTAAATAAATCTATGTTTAAATTTAGAATTTCCAATCTTCGAGGTAACAAATTTCAAACACAGCGTGAGGAAAAATCCAACCAATTTGAAGTAGCGATTAAAAGGAAACAGCCCTTCTACAAACAAATAAATTTGGAAACCATTTTTCCGTTCCCTTGACGATGATGACAGCATTAATAATAATTTTAATATGAATCGGAAAATTAAGCAGTAAACAACTTGCAGAATTACAAGAAGAAAACAATAAGAAATATTTTTCCTTGAAGTTGTACTTCTGTTGTTCTTTTGTTGGTTGTAATAACGTTTGATTCTTGAGTAAAAATTTTAAAAAGTCAATTCAGCTATGTTTGGAGTTCATTTTTGTAGACTTCTCTGCTTTAACTAACTCTGATCGCTTTCTATTCCGTTTGTCATTCCAAACACTGGGCATATACTATATTTAGCCTACTTTCCCGGCTGTTATATATGTTACTGTAAATGCTCGAACTATGGTAAATCCTAAGATCTTCCAGTAAAACTTAAGATTTACCAAATCTTTGTAGTAAAAGTCCGAAATGTTCTGCGATAATCGCTAATTTCGAACTTTTACCAGCATTTACTCGGTATATCTTAGGTTTTACCTCAGAGACATGGTAAATGCTGTCTACTAGGGAGGTCTTGTGTCATTTCTCCAGTAGGATCGGACTTAATGATGATTTTCCTCATTATTAGCATTTACAATTACATTTTTTTGTTTTTGTTTCATAAAACTTATCCCTACCCTCAAAATTAAGCTTTTTGCGACTTTATAATAATTAAGAAATGAATGTAAAACAGTTTTTTGATAAAATATCGTAATAAATAGCTCCACCAGAATTTTAAATGTTGCTGGGAAAGTTGAGCAACTCGTTGCTGGTTTATTACTATAGTAGAGCATCGTTTATCCGAATCAATTGGGGTCTGGGGTTGTTCGGATAACTTATTTTTCGGATGACCGATTATGTACGAAAAAATATCCCGTGTTGAAATTTTTCTCTGTTGTGTGTCGCTTCGCGTTGGATTTTCGATGTTAAGCCTAATGTAAACTTTTTAAAATAATAATCGTGGCTATTGTATCGTTAAAAAGTATTTCTTTATTTTTTACAAACAAAATAAATATATTTAAAAATATAAAAACAAATGAAAAATTATACTTTAGAAGTTAATCTATTATCAAAAACGTTCAATTCAGCACACGCAGTCCTTAGAAAAACACCACACAAAAGTGCCAGTGCTGCCAGCTAAAACACACATCAACCAAAAAAATATTGGAGTAGCCCAAGATATAGCCAAAGATTGCAGCGCCACAGCACTAGCGAAAATGTAAATTTGCCGACTGGAATTCTTTCGGATAACCGACGTTTCGGATGAACGACGCTCTACTGTATTATGTTCAGTACCTTTCCACATAATATTTTTTACTGGTATGCACATCACATTTTCAACAGTTTTCCGCAAAACTAGTTCTTCTCTATTCTAAAAAAGTAAAATCAACACTTTTTCTGTAGACATATCACCATGGGATCAATTTGTTCCCGACATCATGCAACACAGCAGTAACACAACCAGAAATTTAGTAAGAAAGGTGCAAAATTTTTTGAAATGTACTATACTCATATCATAGCACACGAAATGTTTGTAGCATTCAGGCAATGAAGTACAGTACATTATCATTTAGTAAGCCATGTAAAGGTGATATAATCTAATCTTTCGTTAATATTCAATGAAAAATATGAGTATACCGTATCACTTGTTTCTATTTCATTTGACATTGAAATATATAATTTATTTATATATATCAATAGCTTTTTACAACCATCCAGTTAATGAAGAGACAGTCCAAGATACGATATATAAGGCATGTTCCAGTTAATTGGATATGATTAACATTTTGCAGTCTGTTCCAAAAATTTCAACAATGATTCCAGTTATTCAAATTTTTTAAATAGTAAAAAAACAGCCTAAACTTTTAATATGAGAGCTTCGATTACATATTAGACTTTCTTCACCCAATTTTTTGATATATTATACCCAATATGGCAGCAAGCTTTAAGCATATTTGGAGAATTTTCCTTCAGCATTTGATAACTTGATACACACTTTCGTAATGCTTTGTGCTGTCGTCAACAGTAGGAACTCGTAGGTTATTTAAATCACATTGTTCGTCGCTTAAAATTGATTTAAGCTTTTCAAAATAACTTGTAATGTTTTGAAAGTTTTGCTAGAAATCCAAAAGGTTATCCGCAACTACACAACTTTTTTATAGTTTCGAACTACAACGGAAATAATTTGATATATTATTTCCGTTGTAGTATTCTCGGAAATAATTTAGAACTGCTTTTATTGAAGGCATCGGTGACCAAATAAAATTGTTTATTATTTCTTAACGTATCAATTTTTTGTTTGTTTTTTTATTTTCGCATTTTAATGTAGGGCAAGTACATAGTTTTTTACTGGTATGCACATCAGCATCCTCACACTTTATTTTATCGCAGCGAATTTATTTGAACAAATAATAACTTTCTTTATGTAAAGATATTATTAATGTACAGTGCTGGAATTGTTTCTAAAAGTAACATATATTTAAATACATTTATTCAGCTAAAACTTCAAGTATAAAAAAATCTAGCAATGAGTTGTATAACTTTTCCTGTTGTTGTGACTTTTATTTAAAAACTATGTGTTATATTATTAATCATAATACGTGGAATTGTGTGTGGCGCAATCTGTTATTGAATATTAATATAAAGTTTTTTTTTATGACATTATTATAAAATGTCAAAAAGTTTAATTTTGAAAATAGTTATGAGTTTTATTTAAAAAAAAAAACTGTAAATGCTAATAACGAGTAAAATGTTTATTAACTAAGTCTTACTTCATTCAAGATATGACACATGACTCCCCTGTATCTCCCCAGTCCGTCGAACTTTAACCACCAAAATTTAATAGAATCAATGCCCTTTATACACATGCTACAAGGCCAACTTTCATTACTTAATCTTTGCTCCATCCTTAGATATTAATTAAACGAAATAGACATACACACATCTACGAAATTTTTCTCTTTTTTTTTGAGTGTTTTGGATTCAGGTGTTCTCAAAACATGGGGATTTGCAAAACACTCAGAGAGTAAAATTTGAGACGATTCCAACACTTTCCCTTATTGTGTATACATAATAGCTGGAAAAGTATCAAATCCTACAATCTTGAGCATGCCACAAATATATAGTGGAAGGAAAATAACTAGACATTGAGAAATCGCTATAATTTTTACACTTTTAACGGAAAGATGATTACAAATATATGACATGTACGATATTAAATGGAAATACGAATACCTACTGTAAAATTCAATGTAAGCACCGTCTCCATCCACCAATGACACGTTTTCCTCAGATTGTGATGTAAACGGACGGCCACTCCTCTGTGCGCCGCAAACGTACCTGTGGTCATTTTAGCTTCGAATCATAATTCTTGATTGTTTCCTGACAAATTGTGTCATGACATTCCTTCGCTATATGCTACCATATTTTCACAACCACTGATTTACACACCTCTTAGTGTACAGCATTCTGAGCTCGCTTCTGAACAGACAAGTAGTTGGCGATCTTTTTTCCACTGCGCATGTAGTCTTTCTCTGTGACTGCCCACACCACCGACGCAGCAATTATAAAATTCCATAGATTGATATACATGCTCACACAAATTTTGTTGCATTATTATTACTAAAATGACATCGATTTCTCTGGACTTGCTACTTTCCACCACCCTGTATACTACAAATAGGCCTACTTCTATCATTTATAGCCTAAGTGATGTGTCAAATAAGTTCGTGGCCCGGAATTTTCCCGAGGAACTAATGTGATGACCAGGGATGGAGAGTCGGATCGGAGTCGAAGTCGATAAAAAAAAATACCAACTCGAGAATCGGGAGTCGTGTAATTTTCCGCCGATTTCCCATCCCTAGTGAGGGCCACGGCCATAAGGATTGCCAGCCAATAACGGAGCAAAGATTCAAAAACAAGTCGACCTCTTCAGTTTTACAGATCGACCGATCATTTTGCCGAAAGGACGGGAAATCATTCATGTTGGTTGTCGCGGAGAAAAAACATTTGCGAAGGGAAATTTGTAGAAAGAACTTTTATGGAAGAACTTCGTGGCCTTTAGATGGGTTTTTATGTATACGGTCACTCGATCGCTAATCTCGATTATTCTCGGTCCCTCGGCCACGCAATCCGATCGGTCTCTACTTATTTCCAATCGAAAATCGAGACCAGCCAGGCAGCAGGAGAGGATGATCATCAATGTTTAATTAATACCATACCGAATTCCGATACGAATCAGAGTTGGTAGATCTAAGGACGTTGTTTATTCGTTCCTTTATTATTTATTTTACAAAATATTTTTGTATCTTTCTCTTATTTTCTATAAAACAATTTTTAAATCTGATGAATTTAATGCGACTTGTATCCGGTCAGAGCCTTGCGCTAGTTTGGACACTACTGACTAAAGTGTAAAATTATTTTACGCCATTTTTTTAAATTATTACTTTATTAAGCGGAGCTCTTCATAAGTCAATGTATTTTCTCTATAATCGAAGTTCTAAGCGATTGTATGACCATTAATCATAATTTTTTGCAAATATTTAATGCACAACTAGGCAACATCGATGTCATAAAGAAACCGGAATGTAAAGTAGTAACCTTTTAGCAGAGTGGGGACAAAAGGGGCGCGGCTTTGTTAATTGGACCCACCTGCAGTCAGACGGTAGTACAATGGCCATATTGTAAACGAAAGAACGTAAACAAGTGGCGGACGTTTGTGTGAGCTTCACTCTCGTCGGATAACGGCGGACCCGAGTGTAAGCTGTTCGGGCAAAGAAAAGGGATTGTGATTGGTCGGAAGTCCCCGTCCAAAAACCCTTAAATTGCGGGCCGAAAGAGAGGAAAGGAGAGAAGGGCAAGAGACTGGTACACGGTAGTCTCAGGCACTTGGGAAGCCCGCTGAGTGTAGAGAGAGTGTTCTCCTCTGTTGATCTTCTCAGGGACGGGTTAGTGCTGAGACCGGACCGACCGTGCAGTTGAGCCGACTCCGAAAGCTGACTGAGGTCTCTCCCAAGAGTATTAGTTTCCAGACGCCAATCTGGCACGTGAATTCACCACCCATGATCTTGCTGTACATATACTCTGTTTATAACTTGTACAACTGTAAATAAACTGTAAATATATTCAATTTGAGTGTGGAGGTGTGCTTTCCGACGAACCTAATTCACTACATCGAGTCGTGATACACAAGGAACCAACTCAACGAGGCGGAGTTGGGAAAGAACATTCTCAATAAGATCTTCACTCGAAATTTTGAAATTCCATTTATGGGCGGAGATATTTCAGGTCATATTTTTCTGTGTAAAATCTATGGAATGATCTCCGGTTGTAAGCTCGTCGCTTCCTGCATCTCAATCGAGTTTATGATTGCTATTCATTTACATTGATCTCTACCACAACTTTTTATATTTACCACGAATATTTAACATGCACGATGTCATGACGAAATTAACTTTTGAAGACTTTTACGTGTGTCCTGAGGTTGCTTATGTACAGTACGCGTTTTAACCAGTCGCTGGAATAAGTGGGTTTGGTATTTAAACATTTCTTGAAGCTTTTGTCGGCTATGACGATGGGCATGCACGCTCCCCCCGTACATACGGGTTCATTGGTGATTTCTGCAATTTTCCATTGCTTATATTTAGGCAAACCCTTTATTAAAAAATCCGAAAATTTGCACACTACCTAAGAAAACAATTATCTTTCAAACAAAATATTCAGAATTACTATGGCGTTTGGGTGTGGACAAATCAGCTACGATATTTGGCAACTCGATTCCTGTACATATAGTCATTCAGTGACTTTTTACTTAACGCGGAGTCACTGCCGTGATCATTCGCGATCATTCGTAACTTTTCGAAAGATATTTTCAAAATTTTATATAGGATATCGAATCTGTTCATCCGATCATTACCAAGCTAGACAATACAGGTATACCTCGCCTTACGTCGGTAATTGGTTCCAGGAGAACGACTTAAGTCGAAAAACGACGTAAGTCGAGGTATACCTGTATTCATATAAGCTACTTTTTAAATATATAAAAAAAATGTACTAAATTCATAGAAAAACAACATTAAGTTACATAGCTAATAATTTTTCTATTCTAAAATGAACGCATTCATTATTTTCTAATGTAAAAACTAATTAAAATGTAAAAAATAAAATCTGTACTTACCTCAGTACACTTTTTATACTCCTGAAGATGAAACAAATAAAATTATTTAATTACCGGTATATAAAAAACTTATAAGTAAGTTGTGAAAAAATATTATTGATATTTATTATGAAAAAACAAAGATGTATTTTACAATAAATACTGTATTAAGATTTTATGGCTTTGTGAAAAATAACAGTATAATTTTAATATGATGTGATGAATATTAGGACAATTAGGGATTCCTTCTTTTTGGGCTACAGTTTTAAAATTGCAGGCCCCGATAACTTCGCAGTGTCACCCGTTTGTCCACCTTCAAAGTCAAGACGGGAGTGACATGAATTAAAATCGATACCAGATATGGAATGCTTAGGAGCCTGAAACGCCTAAATAAGGCTAGTTTCGCGTATAAAGTTCTCAGAGAGCCACTCCTCTTGACAGATCGTTGTTGTGCTGCATAGCCTTATCCCACCAAGTAATCAGACAGCTTCGTCGTTTCATTAAGAGGTAATTACAACAAACATTTACTTTATAAATCTGATATAATTACTATTTTTATATTGTAAATTCAATATTTGTATTAAAACACTAAAAAGTAATAAGGTATAACTTAAAAACTTCAAACAACCTCAGTCGGTTGTTATGTAAATATCTGAAAAAAAGGTAGGCCTACAGTAGTTACCGTGTTTCCCCGAAAATAAGACATCCTCTGAAAATAAGACCTAGCAGAGGTTTTGCTGAATTGCTAAATATAAGGGCCCCCCGAAAGTAAGACCTAGCAAATTTTTTTTACTGATAAATGTCATCGACAGATGGTTGAAAGTGGCCGTTGGCTTTTTGAAAGTACAGCCACTGATTGGTCAGCAGACAAGCACGCCACACGGCATGATTTGCATAAGACTATGGCTTGGGAATCACAGATTTGCATAACGTTACGGCTGGTAATGGCTAATTGGTCGGCTGGTAATCACGCTACATGGCATTTGCATAGTGCTACGGTTCAGTAAGCACTAATTGGTCATCGAGCCCGATGTCGATGCTGTAAAAAGGTTAAGTTGAAGCGCCTGTGGGAAGTCCCCTCCAGCACGGGAACTTCGTAAGTTCACTGCTGAGGCCTGATTGTAAGACAATCAATGGCCTAACCCGGTCTTTGGATCTGGCGATGACGGCTATTTTTGAGCAATGGTCGCTACTTGCTTGGCACTTGGGCTGGGGGACTTGTCTCCCATCCATTAGGGGTGCTGTATAGGAGTAGTCGTACCGGATGCCAGATCGGTTTTACCGGTTGACTCGTTCAATAAACTTTATCGACGACGGTTTTATTTAAGTTCAGTTTGGTACGACCAGATAGCACTCTCGTCTAAGTTATACTTGGGAATTTTTTTGTTCAAAAATAAATGTGAATTCTTCTTCATGGAAAAATAAGACATCCCCTGAAAATAAGACCTAGCGCATCTTTCAGAGCAAAAATTAATATAAGACACTGTCTTATTTTCGGGGAAACACGGTAGTTGTTAAGTTCCCAACTTTCTTATCGACTGTTTTTCCGAGATAAAACTACAGTATTTTAAAAGCGAGACACTAAAGAATAACCAAATAAAAATTAATTTACTTCACTTCATTGTCTTTATTGTGATTATCAAAAGATGTGTGAAGATACTATGATTGTTCAACTAAAATAAATTTATCACAATAAATTATTTTCTCGTCAATGTTGCCAAAATTAATTTAATAAAATTGTTCGTGTTTAAAATTATTGAAAAACCCTGCTTTTATATATTCTACTATTAATAACCGTTAATAGATAAATAAATAAGATATGAAAATACAGTAGAGCGTCGTTTATCCGAAAGCTGGTTATCCGAAACGTCCGTTATCTGAAAGCATTCCAGTCGGCAAATTTAAATTTTCGCTAGTGCTGTGGCGCTGCAATCTTCGGCTATTTCTCGGGCTACTCAAATATTTTACGTTTTTGATACTAAATTAACATTTATTGTTTTTATATTTTTCAATAAATTTATTTTGTTTGTACAAAATAAAAAAATAATTTTTAACGATACAATAGTCTTCGTTAGGCTTAACATCGAAGAAAATTCAACGCGAAGCGACACGCAACGGAGAGAAATTTCAACATGGGATAAATTAATATATTTTTTCGTACATGATTCGTTATCCGAAAAATAAGTTATCCGAACCACTCCAGTCCCCAATTGATTCGGATAAACGACGCTCTACTGTATAATAAATTGTTACTTCCTATAGGAATAGGTTTTTCCTGTTCGTTTTAACTGTAAAATTTAAATTTTCATTTATAAATAATAGGAGAATCGATTTATCCCATTGTGATCAATAATGTTTATATTCTGTAATCGTTCGCAGGTCACAGAAATTTATCTTATGGATCGAAATGGTTTGTGGAGCAGTTTCTCATCACTGCCTTATAGCCGTGGTTTTCAATCCGTGGTCCGCGGAATACGGGTGCTCCGTGAAGCTACTTCAAATGTTTCGCGAAAAAATCAAATATAAAATAAAAAATTGTTGCAAAAGAAAAATCGATACAATGTAAAATAATTTTTGTATGGAAATGTAATTAGCAAACGCCAATGACGTCATATACTAAACCGTGTGTGCTCGATTTCAAAAGTTTTTGCAACCCCTGCTTTAAAGCTGATAGTATTGTAAGTGTTTCGCGGGAAAAAAATGTCAAAGTTTAGTGTTCCCTGACTTCAAAAGAATTGAGAACCATGGCCCTAGAGTTCGCTTCTTTTACACGATTGTCTATTTTGATGCGGTAAGGGAATGTTCCAGTATTTTGTTTGTTTGTTTTGCTAAATTACGGTAATTCAACACTTGGGCGATCTGTCTAGGGGATGCCTTCGGAGGGGTTGTAACAAATGGGTAATTAACTCGTGTTCAGGCGTTACAAACGTGGAGAAAACTCGGAAAACTCCACATGGCCAGCCTGTCCTGGCAAGGCGCGAACCCACAACCGAACTCCCGGTGTTCAGTGAACAGAACCGTTTGGCCACTGTGGGCCAGATTTCAGTGTTTTACCACTTATTTCTGACAGTGTCCATTTGCTTCCCGTTTGAGTATTTTAACCAGACAAAATTTAACATAATATTGTAATCGTCGCCGTTCTGTGGAATTGAATAGCCAGTAATGGAACCTTACGGAAACCAAGCACCCTGCTGGGTAGTGTAGCGCGCTATCTGTAGTTCCACCTCATTGCCTATGTACCCCCACTCCCAAGCACTTTTTTGTAACTATTCATCGCATTTAACTCTTGTATTTGTAACTGTTTTGTAACCACCACAAAGCTTTTCTACATATGTAACGAGTCATAACTATTTGTATACTCTCTCTTTCTGTAACCTGTACATTATTCTATTTAAACTTCTGTGATACTCGCGCTGACGGTCTCCTTATCTTTATCATCTTTCCTAACACACTTTCACCCCACCTTATTCATTTCCACTCTTATTCTCCTTTTCACCCCAGGCGATACCGCTGAATAGTCCTGGTCTTCCGCCCCTTTCATTGTAAAATATAAAAAAATATTGACCTTGAGTCACTCTACAATTTTCTAATTTAAACTATGCCCTTATCTTTCATATGACTCGAGATATAATTTGTCTGCATGCAAAGAATACAAAACATGTTTAGCATACAAACCACCACTGATTTCCTGCCATTTCAGTGCATTTTAATATGCTTATTGCGTAGCAAAAGAAAGATGTAGCTAGGATTTGGAAAAACTCGATATTTTGACATTCGACGAGTCAAATATCAAAATACCGAGTTTTTCCAAAACCTATTTAGTATTTAAATGCAAAACCAAAACCGATATATAGTATTTAAAACCGATTTTTTCCAAAACCGATATATTGTATTTAAATGCGGTATTTTGACATTCGACCAGTCGAATGTCAAAAAACTGCAATTGAATGAATTCATTCAATTGCAGTTGTGATCCAGTTAAAACTTATATAGGAAAAACAAAAAAAAAAAAAAATTAGGCACAAGAATTTAAGAGCACATACGTGAAATAAGGGGTAATTATGCAAATTCTGCAGTAGCAGAACACTGCAATAGTTATGGGTGCCAAATCAACAAAGATACGATAAAAATTAAGAAAAAAGAATCAAATAATTACAAACGTCAGTTATACGAACATTTAAACATAAAGAAAGAAAGAAATAAAATAAACAATAGTTTGGGTCGTATAATCCACCAATCCTGGAGCACCATAAAAGTTGACGTTTATAAAAAAGCATAGTTAACAATCTCCCTACCATAACACAGTTGAATTGTGAAAAATTGAACCGTGATGTGAGTTTTTTTGCTTTTCCTATGTGATGTTTTTAGTTTTTATTAATTTACAACCTTTATTTATTATATTTTAATTTAATTATACAGTGAAATGTTTAACTCATTAATTAATTATACAACGAGAAAAATACATTTATACTCGCGATTGAAATATGTATTTACAATAAGTTTTAAAATTATTTTTTATGGTTATGTAAAAATTTTAACTTATACAATAACTTATCTTGTTTTTATTATTGTTACTTTTTAGTGTGTGGTAGTAGTACTGCTGATGAGGGGCATGCTAGCCCGAAACACGTGTAATATGTGTACAGAAACTATTACTGTACTACAGGTGATATAATAAAGAAATTTTGTCCTTTCCTGAACTAACTCTCATTGCTTTGTCAATTTTTAAACACCAGTTAAGTCCTATTAATACGTAAAGTCCAAATAGACAATTAACAATAACAATATCCTCACCTCACTGTCACTGAACAAAGGATTGTTGATCAAAAACGAACAATTATACACAACAACCTTATCACACGAACAACACTTGAACTTATCAAACAACAGGTTGCTGATCAAATACATCAACAGACAGAAACATTTAACATTAATGAAGATCACGTAACCTGTCAGGATAATCCAGCAACAAGCATTGATAATAGTACACATACAACAACTACCATTAATGATACTACAGACACTTCCTCATCCATCACTGATAACATAGATATAGATTTAGTTAATACACTCTCACTTATATTTCAGGAAACACTCACTAAATATACAGGCACAGATCCCACACAAAGACCACGAATACCGAAAATCAACACGTCAAAGGTAGTAGGAAAAACACTAAATTATGTAAACACTCACTTACTACCAAACTACATTCATTCAATTTCTACACTCTCAGACATTCATACATTAGTTTATGCTGGGGCAGTCACAGTAGTAACACACCATGGACTGAAAATACAATCACAGACAGACACACACAAAACACAATTCTATCACAAGCCTGCCTGGCAGAGAAGAATAGAAACACAAATAAATGACATTAGACAGCAATTAGGCAGGCTGACACAATACACTAAAAACAACATAACACCCAAATTAAAGAAACAACTCAAAAACATTTTCAAGAAAATCAAAACACACACAAAACATGAACATCACAACACACACATTACAGAATACATCGATACACTAAAACAAAAACTCGCAGCCAAAGCACGTAGACTCAAACGATACAAAACATGTACACTACGAAAACAACAAAATAAATTATTCACAAACAATGAAAAACTTTTCTACAGACAAATCAGTACCAAAACAAACACTGATACACAGCACAGTGGCACACCAACAAAAGAAGAACTCACAACTTATTGGTCTTCTCTTTGGTCCAGTACTCTCACACACAACGCTGATGCAGTCTGGATCGATGAGGAGAACAGAAACTTGCACAAATACCAACTATGCCCTGTGCTAAAATAAACGTACACGACATCCGCTACGCTGTTAACAGAACACACAACTGGAAGACACCTGGTGTAGACAACATTTACAATTACTGGTACAAAAAGTTTACATCACTGCAGCAGGAACTAGCTAAACATCTAACACACATCATCATCAACCCACAAGACATGCCAAAATCGCTTACTCAAGGCATCACCTACATGAAACCTAAAAACAACAAAACCACAGACCCCACACAATACAGACCAATTACATGTCTTCCAACAATATACAAATTATTGACATCCTGTATCACAAACAAAATTTACAAACATGTTGAAGAACACGACATTCTTACAGAACAACAAAAAGGTTGCCGTAGAAATCACAGGGATGCAAAGAACAGTTACTCATAGATTCAGTCATTCTACGGCAAGCACACAAACAACACAGAAACATACACATGGCATATACAGAAAAGCATTCGACAGTGTTCCACACAGTTGGCTGCTACATATTCTACACATGTACAAAATACATCCATCACACATTGCATTCTTCGAAAACACTACGCAGCACTGGAGAACAACACTGCATCTCAGGGATAGTAACACTTCCATACAAACAAACGAAATATTCATTAGGCGAGAAATTTTTCAAGGAGATTCATTGAGTCCTCTCTGGTTCTGCCTAGCCCTAAATCCATTATCCAACATGTTAAACAACACGCATTATGGCTACAATATCAGACATGAAAAAACAACACAGTTTACGCTGTCACATATCATGTACATGGACGACATAAAACTTTATGCACTCACACAAAAACAACTACAGCAGCTCCTACAAATCACACATTCACACACCAAGGACATACAAATGGAGTTTGGCTTAGACAAATGCAAAACACTTCACATAGAAAAAGAAGTCCTGAAGAAATAAAATTTTGCACTTGGAAATGGAGACGTTATTGAATCCATGGAAGAAGGATTCCAACAGGCCAAACTAACAGAACATACACAAATAAAGCAAAGATTAATTAAAGAATACCAAAGTAGGTTAAACGCTATACTTAGAACACAGTTAAATGCAAAACACACATTTAAAGCAATAAACACATATGTCATCCCAGTACTCACATACTCTTTTGGAGTTAAACATTGGATTCACACAGATCTCGAGCAACTCCAAAGGAAAACAAGAACAACACTTACTAAGCATAAACAACATCATCCTAAATCCGCTACAGAAAGATTAACCCTTCCACGTAAAGAAGACGGACGTGGCCTGATTGACATAGTTAACCTTCACTACAAACAAATACAGTCACTGCTAGAGTTTTTCTACAAGAAACAAGAAATATCACAGTTACATAAAGCAGTAACTCTAGCAGACTCAAATAACACATCATTAAACTTACACTCACATCATACAGACATGACACAACATATAAAAAGCATAGACACCATCAAGCAATCGTGGGCTCGAAAGGCACTCCATGGCAGGCATCCTTATGACCTGGCCCGGGATTTTGTTGGCAAAACTGCGTCAAACAGCTGGTTAGATCGGGGATGCCTCTTTGGGGAGACGGAAGGATTCATGATTGCCATACAGGATCAGGTCATAAATACTAAAAACTAC